CTGTTCTTCTTACACCTGGCAATAGCGGCTAAATCCTGTTTGTATTTGACTATGTGCTCATTGTGAACCAAATCCCAGGGGCCTGCGCTGTTCCCAGATATGTCATCATGACAGAAAACAGAATTTGCTACTTTCCCCGCGGCCCTCAACAACCATTATCCTCAGCAGGCAGGCCCGACATCCCAACAGGCCTGTCAGGGGCCAGGTGAGGAGGCTCAGGTGATTGACCCCAGGCAAACTTTTCCCAGGCAAAAATTGAGAGAAGGGAGGGAGAGGCATGTGGAGCAGGAGAGCAAACAGGGGGGGGTGGGCTGAGAGAGATGAGTTTTATTAAGGTGTAGAGTCAAGGTAAAGGGAGAGGAGGGATGTGATGACACATGAAGAGTGTGTCACTGACGGGTTCTTCTTCTGCAGAACCCTCACGTGTAAATCAACAAGGACTGACAGTGTTGTATTTAACAGTATGATATACTGGATACAGCCTGAAAGGTATCAACAGTGCTGATTGAAAAATCCAGTGCACATTCACAACATGATGTTTATAGAGTAGAATAGAACATGCTAAAAGTGAGACAAGAAAATTACACCATTGTGTCTGTTCCAGAAATGTGACGCTGAAGCCAGCATCCAGTTAATTAAGCTTAATTTAGCTTATCTTAGTTAAGCATATAGTTTGGACACTGGGGGCAGGAGGAAACAGCTAAACTGTTCAAAGAAAATGAACTACAATTACACTCCGTAAATTGCTTACCTCTGCCAAGGCCCGACAGTCTCCTTACATTCAATTGGTCTGCTCCAAATTGCACACGCTTAAAGATATCACTTCCCATAAATATGCCTGATTTTTATTCATCAATTCTTGGGAAATTGGTAAAATTGTCATAAAGTGTTAAAAATATTCCACAATCCACGACTAAATTTAACATGTTCTATCTTTGCCAATCTCCCATCCTTCCACTAAGTTTTGGGGAATTTGTTTGCGTAATGCCGCTGACAAACACTCAAACCCACAAATAAACTAACCAACGTACAGAGGCAAAAAAACGTAACTTTACTTGGCTGAGATAAATACGTGTCTGAAACCACTCTCTTTGTATATTGTATCACCCGTCGACCATGAGTGTCTGAATTCTGAGTGTTGATGTATATAGGTCCTTCAAAAAATCCACACTGGAACAACAAAAGTAGTGATCGTGTCTTTGTTTACAATCCCAGAATGCAATGTCCCGCATGTTAGCGTCAATTGACATTTCAAAGTAATCACACAAGCTGAATATTATAATATATCAGAAATGTCAACTGGATTGGCCACAGCCCCCTTGTGAGCCTCAAAGGATAAGCTGTATGTATGGATAGATGGAGATCTCAACTGACCATTGAATAAACTATCGAGTGTCTTTTGTGCGATTTCCGACACATTCTACTTTTTATGGTTGCTAGCAGTGAATTCTTTTAGTCTGTGCTGGTTGCCTGGCAACCTCACTGACTTACACAATTCAGGAAGACATTTCAGATTAAATAAATAAGATTTAACAATTTGAAGAGTGAAGATACGAACAGCTGATCAACATTTTCTCATGTTTTACATTTTGAACAGAGCCAGACTCATTGATCCAGTGGTTTCCAGCCACTGCAGCAACACACAATGATGAGAGTGGTACGAATCCTCTAATGTTGATGCATTGTCCTAAATGTCGAACTATTCTTCAATGTTGATGCATACCAGAAGTTAGCGTTCTGTGCATCATCGACAACACTTATTTTTTTTAGAAAGTAGCTTTTTCAATCACAATCTCAGTGATTGTCAGAACAACATCAACACACGTAGTTCATCCTTTGTTGTTGCTTTGACAAACCACAGCCCTGTCTTCCTGAGCCACAGGAAGCTAATGAGCGCTAATAGGTGTCACAGGCTTAAGGGACAAAGACCAGTACAACTGCATGCTGGGATAAAATAGATCAGAGGCGGGACCCTGTCAGCACATGTCAGTCACCGGTGGATGTACAATGGCCCCTGGTCGCAGTCAGACTCCTTTTGTGCTGCATGTGCAAGTATGAGCAAACGCACAAGCTTATTATTAATCCTCAGCCCCCATTGAGAGCTGGCAGGGAGCTCTTAGCTTTTAATGTCAACATGTGTTTAGTCCACTCTTCCCTCTGCAGGGGCACACGCCTGTCAGCGTGACATGTCAGGTCTGAGGGAAGAGCCTCTGGAATAGGAAACGACGCTCACCAGGACAGAAAACAGAGTTGTATTTTTAATGCTGTGCGGTGGACTGAAGTCTATAATTCCTGTGCTCAGTAACACGTGAGCACAAAAATAAAGACGCTGAACCACAGAACGAATCACTGCTGTTTGACCCCAGATGATTTGACATTTATTGGATGTTGGATAATTAATAACAAAAAATGTGCAAAAGAAGATTATAGGAACAGACGTGTCACTTTCTAGAATTCAAAGTATTTGAAATCGAGGTGTGTATCACTATTGAAAAACAGACTGTGGTATTTTTACAGAACTCTAGTTCCCTCTTCTGGCAAACACATTTACCATTTACAGCCAAGTGGATCTATCTGGATCTAACTGCGTCGTAATGCTGTGTAGATGATACGAACGTGAATCCATCATAAGAACGTTAAACGTCCCTCGACACTTTTTAAGAAATTTACAAACATCAGTAAATTGAAACAGCAGTTTATTTAATGACTTCTCAAATATTTTCAGATCATAAAGCAGAATAGTGTATAGTAGCCTTGAACAGGGAAATATGTGTATGTCGCTTCTAACTTAGAGATTCAGCTATGCCACCAGTAGCAGTGTTATAGATTCTAACTCAGACATGCTGTTTTAATTTCTTTAGTTGTCGGTGACCAAAGACAGCTGAGGTTTATTTAAACCCATGTATGTTTTTTTGTGCAGATTGCTGACTGGCTTCCAGGAGGCAAAGCTTTCCTGTTTTCTTTTCAACTGTTACTGAATTTGCTTTTAAAATTTCTATTTTATATGGACCACTGGTTTCCAATATGTGGCTTGAGACATCTACACAAAGTTATAGATAAAAAAAAAATCATGAGCTGATTGCTGGGTAAGGATAATAATACATATGAATATGAATTTATGTCGGACTTGTCTTTTGAAATACCGGACAGTCTTTTAGCCTCATATGACAACAAAGTTTAGAGACTGCATTCTGTCACGAGGCAAGTAAACTGCAGCACATAAACTGGACGAGACTATAAACAGAAATTGATTGATTGACGTTTCCAGAGCCTTTAATGAAGCCCTTTTCTTCTTTGCATCCACTAAACACTACTCAGACTAAGTCCCGTCTGTATCTTACTTTAGAGGAGATCAGTCCAAGTTGTATTTGTTCAGAATATTGACTTGACTTCAAGTACATTAACTTGAGTGTAGTGAGATTGTTCAGGCCGGTTCTAGCAGACAGGCTGAAAGGTTGAGTTGGTTGTGTAGTTTGTAAGCACTAAGCAGAGGAGAGGGTGCTGATGGGGAGCAGGAGGACACCTTGGCAGCGGGGTGTTGGAAGGTAAAGCCAGAGCAGACCGGCTTGATCGGCCCACAGCCAGCACACGTGTGATAGCAGAACCTTGTGTTCTGTACAGAGCAGGTGCGAAGGCCTTGTCTCGTCTCTTTTCATCCATCCTCTCTCGGTGATGCAGCTTGGCTCTTCATCTCCTGTTTCTCTGAGCCTCGGCTCTTTGTCTTCCAGGCGATACACTCCTCCCTGTCTCTCTGTCCATCTCTCCATTTCCGTCCCCCTCCCCAGGATCATACTTCATTTGCTCCAGATAACACATCAGCTTCAACGCCCATCCACAAACCCTGTCACCATGGTGCCTGCAGATGGTAACTTCCTGTGGTCTTGCCCAGTGATTGGTGGAGAGACTTCCAAACAGAGAACAGCTGGTGAGGGATGATATATCACCGAGCGTTTGCACTTTCATTTTCAGGGTTGTCTTGTTAATGCTCCCAATCCAGCATCTGGCAGGAAATAGACACAAAGGCAGAGAGAGGGAGAGAACAACCTGTTCTTTGGCAGACCTTAACAAAAGGCTGACACATGTCTGATGAACAGACAGAGCTGCAGCGGAGCACACAGTGCAGACGGCGCTGCCTCCGATATGAAGGAAAAGACGCCTGACGCAAGTAAAACACAGCCGAGACGAGAGGATGGGAGCGTTTCTTACAAATGATTGTTGTTGGTAGCAGAAAATGAAATCTGCAGCATTCAAAAAGTTAGTCTGTAAGTTATTAAGTATGAAGATGAGAACAAATACGAAATGAAAAGCAAATTACACACTCATGTGTTATTCATTTTTCATCTTTGATGGAACAAGCAGTAAATTGCTAGTCTCAAATAATTGTTGAGTATCTCCTTGTAATAGTAAGAACTAGAATGGCATCCAGTCAAGCATGTGCCTCCGCCAAGGCCCAACATTCCCCTTTTGAAACCACATTTAAATTGCCTTGATCCAGATTTATGTGGCTCTGCACTAAATAAAGGGCATTCATGAATACCAGTCCCTCAAACATTCCTGCTTTTGTTTTTCATCAAGCTCCATGAATTATTCTCTGAGATATGAACAGAAAATGAAAATAAATGAATGCATCTACCTCCTGATATGGATCCACACAAATAAAACATTTCATGGAAAGCTGTTGAGTAGTTTTTGCATAATCCTGCTAAATAACTAACAAACAAAAACATAACCTCCTCAGCGGAGGTAATAAACACTCAAGAGAAAATGTAGATAACTCTAAATAATGAATTCTAAAGTTGTACTTATGGCTTTTATTTGTTCTGTTAAAGTTATTATTTTTCATAGTTGTGCAGACTGATTTAGAAATTATGATTTGTGTTTCTATTCGTGTGCTGCAGGTCTCACTTTCAACACCAGAGGGAAGCATTTCACAACCGAACTGGACATGGTGAGTTTGACATTTTCAAACACAGGATTGTAAATGAATGACGAGAGCAGAATCACAAAAACAACAACCTTTAATATCTGGTGTCACAGTGTTAGTGGAACTGTAGATATATGGAGATGTCGAGTCTAAAGTTGTACAGAGCTGATTCAAAATGCCAATTTACAATGTTGTTCATCACCCGGGTCAATCAACTTCCACTGACTGAACGAGAGACATCGTTTACCACCTCTATAAACACAAGCCCTGTATACACACAGCATATAATCCACTCACTGAACTGACTGATTGAAATTAAATTGACCAGTCGAGGCTGAAGAATTCTGCTCTTTAAAAAAACTTAATGCAAATACAACCACTATGATGTAACAGAGGCATATATATAAAAAAAGAAACAACAACAACAAAAAAAGGAAGATACAGACACATGAAGTTGTTCATTAAAAAAAACAAAACAACCTCTGGTCAAGAGGGTGAACACGCTACAATTTCCAAAGATCTTTTGCGGCTACAATATAGTAATATTCAACATGTAGAAGTCAGAGAAAACTCATGCAGCGCCATCTCTTGACACAACAGGTTATAAAATATTCAATTGCTGCTCATAAACAAACTCGATCTTAGGATAACTGCAAAGTAGATCTGAAGCTTTTAGTAAAATACACTTGCATCCCCTTCACGGGTCAAATGACAGAAACCTGTAACTCCGTCAAACCGTCCCGTTCTACAACTGTGCTGATGTTAGGCGACTTTAAATCTTGAAATCAATGTTATTCTGCAACATGACGGATGTTATGCTGTTTGGCCCTTTTCTGTTTTGTTGCATAATACAGCGGATACAGTGAGTAACGAAGAATGTTGTGTACAAAGAAAATGGAGGCGGCCCTGGTGTTAGTTGACAATTTTTATGCTATTTTCCTTGTGAATGACTGTATTTGAAAATGATCCTGGTGATATCAGAGCCCTGATAGATTTTAAAAAGGTGCAGATGCTCTCCCGCTCTCAACTTTTCTGTTGCGAGACTTCTCCATTAAAACACAGCAGGCACCACACACACACACACACGCACGCACGCGCGCACGTGCCACAGACCATACTAAGAAGGAAAACAATGAAACCATATATAGAGTGAAGCGCTTACAGAAAGAAGCATTAAAATATTCTCCACTCAGTAAAAACTGTAAATATGTTACAAATACACGGTCAAAATGCACATACAGTAGACAGTTCTGTTTCCTTTATCCTGTCCAGGAAATCTGCTTGGCACGATTGTCATTAAAACAACAAAAGGATTCTGGAATTTCACTTTTTAAGCATTTAAGGAAATAAAGGTACAAATTTAGGTTTGGCTTTGATATCGATAGATGAGGTCAGTGAAAGCGACAGGCTACGGGTACGGTACGCAAAAAAAATTAAGGCTACTAATAACACGGAATATAATGTGGAATATCAGAACTGAGTTTATGAAAACAGAAGGGAGTCGTCAATGATTAGCTACTGTTAACTATTGACCGCCTTTTTTTTGATAAGTGTAGCCACACTCATGAAATGCTACATGAACACTGGTGGATTCAGTAAGAAGGGATAATAGCTTTAGCTTTGCATGGTAGCAAAACAAAAAAACTAAATCTGTTTAAAACTGAAATATTTTGTTATTTTTCCATTTTACTGACGTAACATGAAAATATATTTTTTTTCTGAACAGGACTCCCCAGAAAAACCAAAACGAACATAAAAATGGCTAAATAAGCATTTCCCTGATTAAATAAATGTCATGATATGCACTGTGACATTCTGCAGCTTTCACTACACATCCTACCACTGATGCACAGCTGATTATGACCCATCCAGAGCCTTCAAGAATGGTAATGTACAAACTTGCATAGATAAAGTGATATAGTATAGAGCAGCTTCATAATTACGTGCCCAAAAGTGGAACATTCTTTTTGTATTTAGGCTTTTCAGACAATCCCTGCGAGGAATAGCTGCTTGCTGTTGGAGGACGAAACGTCGACACTCGGACCACTAACGTATGCAAGTTTGCAACATGGGCCGGTCGGTATTTGTAAAGTCTCACAGAACGGGATGTCGAATCATTGAGTATCAAATGGTTGGATGGATGTGGATCAGCACTCGTTCTCAAAGAGGCTTAAGAAATACAGGTCCTATGTCACACACACAACTTCAGGTGACGGTTTTCTTTTTTTTTTTCTTTTACAGTATGGCTATAAACAGTGTGGCATACAGGTGACATCATAGAATCATCTGGATATAAAGGGCTTCACTGTTATGCTTTAAAAATGTCTTTAAACATGCTTTCCCTGGGAATATTTGGATTTTGACTTTTTTTTTAAAGCACAGGGGGGAAATGCTAGATTTTGGCTCTTCTTAATTTAAGGCTATTTATTTCTATTTGGCTACTCTACCACCTGGAGACTGAGAATTACAGGAGTGACATCTCTTTTCAGTGACTTATTAAAATGGTTCCACAACACGTGGATACAAAATCTGACCTCTGATAAACTTAATGCGGAAACTTAAAGGGGATCACCACTCAGTTTGGAAAATGTCTTGATTCAGCATCATGAAAATCTGGAAATGTAATCTCTATTTTACAAAGGTGACTCCAAAGTCTGGAGGTGCGTCAAGGAGAATGAATCAGGAGACACGGCAAAAGAACATTTGTGCACAAGCTGATATTTAACAAAACTACTTGTTGTCACTTAGCCAGAGAAAGTAAGTGTATGTTAGTTGTGAGTGGAAATCCCCTTTAACAAGTGTACCTAACAGTTTGTAAAACACTCAAAAAGTACAACACAGACACTAATCTGAGCACAGTTCTATTAAAAGCGACAGGTTATAAAACATTGACATCATCAAGAGGACGTGCTGTACATTGAGTTGAGTGACAACAGTCTCCCGTCTCTACCTCAGTCGCGAGCATGACGAATGAATCCGTGTGCAAATCGAGTGGACACCAAACATGCGTGGTGCGACTCTAATGCTACTGACTGAATCTGTAGAGCTACATCAGGTGTGGCGGTGGCGGTGGATTAAAAAAAGCTTTTGTTGCGTACGACAAACCGACGAAAAACAGAGCAAACGTCTTTTTCTGCTCCTGCATGAAACTGTCCATACAAGAGAAAAGCATTTCTTCTTTACATTGATTTCTTCCCCTTTGTACACACCCACAAAAATACCACACCACAGTAACCCACAGTGAGGCCCCTTGAAGCGGCTCAGTCTTTCTTCACATCCCCTAACCACCACCTTCTCACACACGCGGACACCGTCGTCCTTTAACAAATCTGCCCTCCTCTGACCTTTGACCCTGCACGTCTGCACAGGCCAAGGTGTAGAGTTGCTTTTCTACCATGCCTCTCTTCATGCAGAGCGATGGATCCCGAAGCGGCCCGTGTGGGGCTGGTGCAGGCTCAGCCCAAAAAATGAAGCGCTCGAAGCTGGTGGGAGGAAAAGAATGTAAAGTGGTGAAAAGGAGGGGAAAAAAAAGATGGCCCATCCTTGGAACGGCTCTCCACTCCGGCTCTTGTAGCGTGCTTAGGTCGGCAGAGGGTCGTCGTCGCCTTTGCTGCACTTGCACTTGCAGCAGAGCACGATGGGAGTGGCGAGCAGGAGGAACGGGGAGGCAACCAGCAGGAGGAGGCCGAAGCCAGCAAAGATCCCCACGACCTGCACGGAAAACATTTTTTTTGAACGATCAACTCCAAACGTCTAAGTGCTCCTTCAACAGCATATTCTGAGGACAGACACAATGTTTGGAAGTACAAAAGTAAATGCACTTTCAAGAGACAATGTGTTAAAATGATTTTTGTGTGTGACATCATCGTTTCCACAGGTCTGGCTTTATTATAATTTTTTTCAAGCAATCTGCACTACCAAAAGTTGTCCAGCAGAGGTCGCTCAACAAAACTCAACAACTACAAGCTTTTTTTCAGCACTGTGGCTTCAAAATGTTTCAGAAAGGTAAATTTATCTCTGGCAGTTGAGGACTTTCTTCATGTAAATAAAGATGGTGTAATAATTAATTAAGTTTTTCATTTCAAATTTAATTAATTCTGACTTTTCAAGATTTAGTGCTTGGTCAAATACTCAAAAACAACCATGCATGGGAAAATTTGCAATGTTAAAGCAGCAAAGGGAAAAGTAAGAAATAGAAACATAAGTAAAAGTAATAAATATTAAAGATAAGATATAAAAACAAAGAAATAATATAAAAAAGAGAAAACAGAAATAATATATGTAGAGTTTATGTAGTGTAATTGCACTGATGGTTAAACCCAAATGATTGTACATAAGTAAATCATTCTCAAACCAACTGACACACAGTAATACATTACATTTCACTCAGTGGAAAGTGAATTTTGACAGTAAACATATTTGCGACTTGACATCATCCATGTGTTATTTGCATCAGGGCAAGGTAGTTGCTTTGCCACATGGGGGCGCTAGACACAAAGAAATTCAAAGCTACGAGATGGAATACATAACATCCAGTCACATGCATAAGTGACTTATAATAGCACGATGCTCTCACTCCTGTATTGAGGACAAACAGATGGAATTTTTTTGTTTACTTGCTGGCAGGTGTCTGCTCATCATTGAAAACCACACAGCCACATCACTAACTGTGTTTTTTACATTTAGATTATGGGCTGTACAGTTGTGAGAAGTCTGATCTCCTGTTTTCAACTGACGCTGATGGTGCTTCCATAGTGACCTTCCCTCTGACTGATGCAACAGCTCTCATGTAGAGGAGAAGTTTATCCCAGGATAGGTTTGCTCTGGCACATGTTGTATTTATGAGGGAGGCTTTTTAGATGTGAAGGAGCGAGGAGGGTGAAACGAGGAGAGCAAGACGGAGACAAAGACGGAGACAAAGACACACAGCGGCGGAGCTGTAGCTGCTTCCACCAGCTGATCTGTAATCATATGACTCAGTCTGCCCCACTGGGCAACAGATGCCAGTGTGTATGCTAATGTTGACAAAATAACAAGTATGTTGGACAAAGAGACGTGAATGTTGATTATTTGCCTGGGGGAACAGAAGAGAAATTTGGGAACTGAACAACAACAACAACAACAGCGTCAGCCTCAGAATTAAAAAACGAGCTATCATGAGGGAAATGACATGTCATGGTTAATCCTTCCATTGTAATCTGTCATTTCACATGTGGGAAATTACATGTAATACCCAATCCTTTCTATGTAATCTGTCATTTCATTCGACTACCTACAGGTGAAGAAGTATCCTTGGTTATGTAAACCTTCTTTTTTTTTGTGAAAAATGTTCATAATAGGCTTAGCTGGAAACAGCACGACACTGACCAGCAGACATTTGTCGCTGTGTGCGGATCAAGCTGTCCTTTTCCTATTGTGCTGTCAAGATAATAGTAGCCCACTCCTGAATGTGAGTGTGTGAGTCAGGCAGAGAGAGGGAGGTAAAACGCAGAGAGCATGTGTACAGCCACATGCTGCAGCTTGGACACGGGCGGGGGTGGAACCTGAGCGACTGTAAAGAGGATGAGGTGCAGAGGAAGATGGGTTTTCTCACCTGTGTTCTGTGCCAGATAACAGACGCCCTGGAGTGGCCCAGTTTGTTCCGACACGGCCCTTTATCATAGTGGATCAGGAGAAAGTCGTCCTGTTGTCAGACACACACACAGACACACACACACACACAGACACACACACACACACACACACACAGACACACACACACACACACACACACACACACAGAATACAGATAAAGACTGACCATTAGTGGTTTGAAAGACATGGACAGCTGTTCAGAGAAAATTGCTTTTTAAATGACCTGCAGGCCCGGAGGTCTGCACACACACACATTAAGATTACATAAGGCACGAGGCTCATAAATCAACCTTATCCACGTCCAAGCTGTGGCTGTATACACACACGTCATTTTCAGCCTCTTAATGAATTTCATGAACAAAAAAAAATCCTATTCCATCCTTATCAACTCCAAGTTAAATAATGATAATGAAAACTGTTGAGACAAACGATGTCTACAGCATCAGTGTGTGCAAACAGTGTTCCAATATTTAAATGTGCAGAAGAATGAGGAATAAAGACATTAAGACCAACTCACGTCCAGTGACTCCAGACAGTACCAGCAGAAGGCGTGTTTGCAGTTCTTGCACATCATCTGTGCGCAGCCCTCGTCCCTCTCGATGTAAACTTTACATTTAGGACAGCGCTTGATTGGTGCGTCGTCCTCTTCGTTCTTATAGAAAGAGCTGAGGAGGAGGAGAGAGACACAAGCCTGATATAAAATCCAAAACCAGTCAACATTCACACTTTGAGCAGTGTGGCTTCAATGCACTAATCGATATTTACAATCTCTGGCTTAATAGGATTGTGAATGATGGTGGACGGCTTTAGTCTAGGAGCTGATAATTCTTATAAAAAAAAAAAGCCTTCGTCACTAAATGGCTTTAAACTCCCTCCCAGCCTTTTTCAGATTCTGGACGAGCATTCAGGAGGCAGGACATGATGCATAGTTTTGTTTACAGCCCGTTGATACTGGCGTTAACGTCTTATATGTGTGCATCTCCTCTTTTTCATCTTGAGATATTTGTATACATGGCCACTCGCTCTCTAAGAATTTCTCCAGACATTTTCCTGCCGTATCCTCACATTGGTATCTATGCAATCACCATGTTTTCCTGCAATTATATAACTGCAAAAAACTGTGATTTAAAGAATAAATTAGAGCGGGGGGTGTTTATAAGTTTGTGTGTTTAAGAAATATGAAATGATTAGTGATCTGTGCATTTTTCTTCGATAACCAAGCGCTCATACTCAAAATACAAGTCTTCGTTCCCTCCTGTTTGTGTCAGTTCATCTGTGTCAACTTCTGTTTCTGTGAAGGACTGATTCCTGACTTTTGGAGTTGAGCGGGTAAAATGTAATTCTGGGCAACGTCCTTTCATTTCCAGACCAATCCTCCATAAACTGATACAACTGTAACACCTCCGAGTGCATTCCAGCACTTCTGTACACATCCATTCATCTGACATCTGGCAGCTGCAGGACTGCTCCAAAAAGGCTTAAAGGGAGGCAGAGCACCAGATCTTGCATTTAAATAGCTCCGCTTTTTTTTCTTCTTCCGGTAGCATCCTCCGAAAAAGCTTGTGAGTCTACGTTCTACATTGGATGAGTTAAAATCCTTTAATGCCTGTATTTAAAGACGAGAAATCTGAATGAGAAACTGACAGAAGTAGACAGTGTCTGATGAATGTTCACTTTAGCCTGCTGTATAATGGAGCGCAGAGGACTGGGAGTTCAAATGAGGTTTTCTTCAGTCAGAAAGGGCCTGAGGTTCAAAGATGAATCAGGATCCAGCTTCCTGAGACATCCTGGTCGTGAAAAGGTGTAGTTCAAACACCAAGGCTCTTTACATCCAACAGTGCTCCTGCTAATCCCCCGTCCTTTCAGTGCGGCCTCTGAGCTCAGCCCTGAACCTGAGGGAGGCTCTGCAGAGCTAATGACATTTCCAAACTAAGAGGATATCACAAAGGAACAGGTCAGCAGCATAAGACTGTGGGCAGTCCATCCTCCACCCCCACAGAGTAGATAATGTATTCTTAAAATGCCCACCTCAGATCGCTTTACTACAAGTGTTGTGTTCAGCAGATTGTTTTATGTCTGACTATTAATTTATGCTCGAGTCCTGGCTGATGCTCAACAAAGCAGCCAGAGCATCTGTAAGTCTTTATCTAAAGCAGCGCTGAATGGATCCTGCTCTGTGTTGACATGTTGCCCTGAACTCTGTCAGGTGAGCTGATGATGTGGATGATTGCTCCACCACGTCTGAGAAGATGAATATGATTTCCAGGAGCAGCATCGGCAAACGAGGCCTGGCACTGTTTGAAGAGTTAGTCTAATTCTTTTTTAAATTATTAATCTGTTAATTATTGTCTCTGCCAAGGAGGTTATGTTTGTGTTTTCGCAGGATTACTCAAAAACTACTCATCTGATTTCTATGAAACTTTTGTGGAGGGGTGGATCATGACCTGTAAATGTAGGTGTAGAATCAGATCAGGGACCGAATCCAGGATTTTTTTAAAAACTTTGTTCAGCATTCAAAGTCAGGGCGTTTTTAACATTTTCATTGATTCATTTATCTAAATAAAAATCAGGATCTAGTGAATTTAAATGTAGTTTAAGACTGTTGGGCTTCGGCAGAGGTTTGTGCTCTTCTGAGATCTGTTCTATCTATTTAACAGTCATCATATTTCTAAAATATTATTAGGTTAGTATTATTAGTATTAATATAGATTATTAGATCAAACTATATTTAGCTTCATATCACAGCAGACCAAGAAAAGTTGTGGTCCACGTATTGTTCCATATACAGTTCAGAATAAGTAGTGCAGGAAAAAATACAAATACCCGAGACATGAGAGATGAAACTCTTCCACTAAATATCATCATATATGATAAATAAGTGGACAGGAAGCAGTACCTGTTTTCTCCTGGTAGGAAAGAGGTAATTGGCAGGTTGCTCTCCTGGCAGGCCTGACCCGGGTGCCAGTTGGCTTTGCAGGCTGAGCAGAACTCGAGGGCACAGACGGCGCACTGGACCAGCTGGGGCAGCGCTGGAGAGTCAGATTCCTTGAGTTGGCACACGGCCTGGCAGGTCGAGGAGGGGCACCACGTCCGACACGGGTCCAGCAGCACCTCTGATGGCACCAAAAAGAAAAGATACCGGCGTCATGGAGATTCACTTTACACAAATGTAAAATAGCATCTTGCTTTGGATGGTTAAGTGGTCCGTGCAGAACCATCTACATGTCTAGACTTCTATATTCAGCTTTTTGTGATTTGGAGAGTGGCCCCTCTGAGGACGGTACAATTGACTTACAAATTTGAAAAAGGACTGCCACACATACAGTTTTTTAAAATGAGCAATTTTCAAGGCTCACATTTGCATCTGCTTATGTCGGGGAAATTGCTTTTTGAGTTTTTGGCTAGTTCTCTTCTAACTTCACAACGTGATGCACTTGTCCTTGTATCCTCTCCTTCCTTCCTCATGCCTCTCTGCCAAGAACTCGGAGCACACATTCCACATGCACTCTTAGCTCAGCCTGACAAATATGGAACGGTTACAGCAGCCGCTCTGCCTGAATAGACCGGGACATTGATGAGACAGCTGACTGCCCTTATTCAGGGAGCATCAACAGCTCTTTCTGAGGTTTTCTGAGGATTTGCGGTCATTAACAGGACCCCTGTGTTCCTGTGTTTGTTTGTCTTTGCGTGTATTTAATCCTGCAAGTGTGATCTGTGTGCTCTGTGTACACTTTGCACCTCTGTGTAGGTGGAGAACCTGCAGGGTGACTAACACCACAGTGTGAGCACTGCTTGGTTACTGCCTGCTCTCGGTAGCGATGGAACTCTAACATTACTGATTAGCACGTCTGGATTGACAGCATGGAGCGAACGAAGACCTGCCGTTATATTTCCAGCACTGGTATCCAAGGAAGGTTAACATTTTTTCTTCAGTGCGAACTCCAGATGCTGAACACGCAGCCACACACTGAGGCGAGAGATAAAAAGGATTTAATTAAATATCTGTATGCTAAGAGATCTGCCTCCGTCAGAGTCAGTCAGACAGTTTGCAAATCTGGAGACAAACCAATCCAATTAAAATCTCTTTTAGCCAAGTCTGGGAGACTTCCCCCTTCATGTATATTTGATGGGAGTTGGTGTTACTCTTTGATGAGGATGAAAGGGTTGAACATTGCACTACACATCAGACAATTAGGCCTGAGTACCTGTCACATGGATACTCCTCGCCTGCCTGCGTGATTATTTGCAGTTCATGAACGAACACAGAAATTGTCAGAAGACCAATTTTTTTTTTTACTCAGAGCAACAGCAGTAATGAAAGAAAACAGACAACTTAACAAACATATGCCAGTGATGACTGAAACTTGCGTAGCAAAAAAGTCTTTCTTAAAATTATTTTCTATCTGCAGATGCCCCGTGGTGTGATTCAATAGCAGAAACTTCCACAGGGGGGAAAATGATCGATTCCAAACAGAGCGAGAAACAGTTCAGCTGCACGTGCGAGGAGGGACTGTCGTCATTCTTTTGTGTGTGTGTGTGTGTGTGTGTGTGTGTGTGTGTGTGTGTGTGTGTGTGTGTGATGGTAAAATACAGTATCCCTGGAGGACAGGAGGATCCACGTGTCTTTGAGGCTGACAGTCATTATCCACACACACACAGACACACAGACTGAGGAGCGATCACTGATGCACTGCGGCTGCTCTTGCACTGACTCACCCCTCTCGAACTGAAGCTTCTTGTATCTCTGCATCATCTCCGTGGCCACCATGCACTCAATCTACAGGCGGGAGAGAGGTGGGAGGGGAGGAGGCAGGTTATTGAGCATATTTATAGACAGAAGCTGTGAGCAGCAACTATACATTCAGTATGTGAATGTTATTTCCAGGAAAATGTAAAATTCACATTTCTACAAGATCACCTATCACCATTCTACAATAAGGCCATTGATCCCCATCTCAGGTAGAAAGAGAATCAGCAGAATATATTCAAGGTGCATACGCAGGCTCAACCAAGGTTTATTCGTTTACTGATGAAACAAATATTTGGGCTTTGTTAAAGAGCAGTCAATTACAAGGTGATGGCATGGCAGTCAGAGCGGAAAGGAGACGCATGCTCTGCCTGACAGGCAGGTGAGTCTAGGGTTTGGTGAGACGGATTGATCAGAACCATAAAGCCGTGGTGTGCTGAACCATGCCAAGGCTTTGCGGTTCAAAGCCTTCGTGAGTAACTCTGTCAAACAAACTTCCAGGAGGATGTAGAGTGCTCTGCCCTCGGATTGACCCAATGCTGGGAAGACACGTCTGCAGGAACGCTCATTAAGATGGACTCAACACAGTGGCGGTGGTAACAAATTCAGTAGCAGTCAGCTTGAGTCACACTGGAGCCTTGAGTGAGAATTAAGGTGTTTAACTAACTGCAAATGTCTTAGTGTCACCCATAAAGCATAAATAAAAACTTAAGTTGCCATGTACTTTTTTAGCTTTGTCTATGTCCCGGGGGGCAAACTTAGACGCGTTGCCTTCACATTTAGGGAGCTATTATGTCATGCATCCTTATTTACAGTCTATGTTTACAGCACATGTATTACCAGTTCTGCACATGCAACATTAGCATGTACATACAGTACATTTGCATGTTTTGTAAAGTACAAGCAAATACCAGCTTGTTGTGTAACATCCTTGCATGCACAACATAAAGTATATTATAGTGTGAGAATAAAAAGACTAAAGACTAACGATATTCTCAGTCCAGAGCTACGAAATGCTGGATATTCACCAGCTAAATAACAAACTAATCTCATATCTCTCAAGGTCAAATTTTTTCTTGATCAATACCTCATTTTCCTGCAAGTGTCCTCTTTTGGGACAGGCAGAGTCTGGACAGCTAATTGCAGTTTCAAGGCCTTCTTTAATCAGGAGTTCCACATACTGCTTCAGGCACTGAGGGAGAAGAAGACACAAATAAAGCACAGACCCAGTTCAATATCCAGTCAGGCAGTAAAATGAAAAAAAGAAAAAAAACAAACACACACAGTTGGTCAATAATCTCTGACCAAAGAGTCACTTTCGATCATCTCTGTGTGAAAGAGCTTAAAAACGACCCCTGCATGAATCAATAGTTTTATTAACAATGGATCGAATGTGTAGAGTGAGAGGGTTCACCAGCAATAACAAACTCCAGCTCATAAAAGAGTTTCAGCTTCTTCCAGCTCAATGGTTTGGTTTCACAGCTTCACAGTTTTAGGTCAGTTTCAGGTCATTTCATTTTGTTTCTGAAAAGCTGAAGATAAACCCACTGGTCACTACCTGTCTAGAACCAAGACATACAGAAAAATGAGCATTTAGCTGGTGTAAACCAAAACAGAGATCAAGAATCAATATTAAATGTATATTTGTCACACAACACAGCTTAAATAAATGATTATAACACAATTTTCCATGTCAAATTTATAAAGATGAAAATATGCAGCTGAAACAAAATCAATTATGCAGCTTTGTATAAAAGTAACACATGACCCATGTAACCTGGACAACAGGCTCTCTCAGAAAAAACAGATTTACATTAATATCACCAGCCCTATACAAAGCTAAAAACATGGGTGAGATAATGAATTTTAATTTATGGAATGAATATGCACCAAAGGAAATTCCTTGCATGTGAAAACCTACTCAGGAATAAAACCAAATAATGGGCTTTGATTCTACGTTTATTTGTTGGTCCAGTAAACTGAAAATGACTCAAGTGTACTTACTTAAAAGAATATCACAGATAAACATGTTGACTCTTTGTCCCTCTGTGTATTTACATTGTGCTCGACCTCCAGAGTAAACTCTACCTGAACTTTGGAAACCACCACCACCCAGACTGGGTTCTGAGAAGTGGCTTCTATTTTTACTGGTTATTCTCTGACATTGTCTCCTCATCACTGGACTTGATTCAAGATCTGACAGCTGTTAATGTGTCTTTGCACACCGGTTCAGTGTCACACAGGACGGATGAGAGATTTGAAATAGATCCACACAGTGAAAATCCTGTGTGGGTTTTATTAAGTTAAACTAGATTTTAACAAGTGCTTTTGTCTCTGATGTGGAGCCAAATCTTCTGGAAACGCTTGCCTTGCATATGCCAGTTTCTTTGGAGACGTCTATCCTTTCAAGTGCGTAGTGAATATATTATCATATAAAATAGATCTAAAGAACCTTATTTATAATCCTTTCTGTTTTTTGGATGAAATCATCATGCTGTTGCTGCTTGTAAAGTCCTGCTCACCAGTGTACAGAAGACACATTGGCACTGTGTGATGGTGGTCATCTGCTCCAGAGGGAACTCTCCAAGGCACAGCTTACACGAGACCAGGGGGTCCACGGCCAGCTCCCAGGTGGGACGGTACCGTGCCGTGGTCATCTTCACCGCCACAGAGCTGAAACACACAAGAAAAAAAAGAACTCAGTTTTGTTTGGGTCTGTCTTCACGAGGAATTCAGAGTTCAAGAAGAGCTTTATTTGTTGTGACACAATCAGCATGACGGTATGAGCCCAGACTGAAAATGCATTGTGAGTCGTGTCCAGTGACTGTTTGCGCACACAAACCAGCCAGCTGAATGCAGAATGACACCAGCTCTCCGCCTAAATGGCCTCTGTCAGCTGTGTTCATTTTTATTCCAGGCTCCATACTCTCTGGCAGGCTCAGAAAACTCCTGTAGCCATCCGCTTCCTCGGCTCCCTGTGAGATTTTCACTCAGGATGAAATAACACTTTTTTTTTTTCCTCCACCGCGCGTCATCGCATCTCTTTTGTGCAAGTCAGGAGAGGTTATTTTAGGCAGCCTCATCTCGCTCTCTCCTTCCCTTCTGTGTCTGATAGCAAAGAGCACCCACTCACTGTTTACAGGAAGTAGTCCCGCGCACACACGTCAACGCTGTCAAACTCTCCCTGTGCTGCTTAGCAACCGGCAGGAGGAGGATTTTGGAGGTGGAGGGAGGAAGAGGGAGCAGCACGGCAGAGGAGAAGAGATGGGGAGTTTGCTTTCTCTGGTCACACACACACACACAGTGTCTGCCTCAATGTGCAGCTGCTTGTTTGCAGACATGGAAGAAGAGCACAGCGAGTGGGAGGAGAGGGGTTGGACAGTTCACGTGATCGCTCTGTGGACTCCTGTGCTGACTACATGTGCCACCCAAAGAGGGGAGTGGAGAGGAAAACAGAGAGTCTGTGTGTGTTCTGGTTTAGCAGAGATATGTTATCACATTAAACATCGCCACTACTAAGAACACTCTTTTAAGGAGGAACACATGGGACGGAGGAGGGATTCTTTTATTTCATATCTTGCTGTTTCGTTGTCACCATAAACACAGCCTACAGAAAACACAAACAATATTGGGCAACCGTCAGCATCAACATCTCTATTCTCTTTAAGCTGCTCAGTGATGCAAGAGGAGGAAGGAAGAGGATGCACGAGAGTATCCTATGAAGGAGTCTATTATTGGATAGAAGCTCCATTGGAAATCTATAGGTGATTGGATTCTGCAAATGCTCTGACACACACTGCGGTTTTGTGAACATACAGGCTAAAGACATGGCAGCACAAAGTCAGGTGTCACAGGCCTGTGGTGTCATGTTGCTGGCAGCAGTGCTGGATCGAGGGTTTTTCTAAATCAGGGAACATAAAGGGGCAACATTTAACACAGAGGGGCCAACATCCATACGCTGTTCCTGATTCAGTGAGGTGCACACTTAAGTCCTTCATTGTTTACTGTCAGCTCTATAGCTTTGAGCAAAGCCACACATCATTGAATGTATTTTGATGATTCTTCCTTGATCAAGCACATTGTGTTCTTCTATTTCCCAGTTGTCATATTTAATCTTAGTACTTCAAGTAAGTGACTAGTTTATAAAAAAATAATCACGACAGGGGTACTTCAGGGGCCAATCAGATTTCTGCTGGAGCCAGTGCCCCCTGGCCCAGCCCCTAGATCCACCCCCGGCTGGCAGGAAGCTCTGTTATAAAGGTGCTGGTGTCAAAAATGTAAATGTCAAATGGCAATTTGTCATCAGGACAGAACCAAATACATGATGCCAGGATGAGTGGAAGCTTAAAGGTGGGTCTGACAGTTTATCAAAGTGCAAAGCAACCTCTAACAAGGAGTTTGAAAAGAAGGAAATCGCAGGTAACGCATCTGTCATGAAATCTTTAAAATGATTTAATGTGGCAACAGGAGCTGAATCATGAACCTCGACAGTATTATTCTGCCAACGTGCACAAATTGACCTTGCAAAGACGAAGAGGTGACACCTCCATGCTCACATACGATCAAACACGTCAGGAGACGGTGTTAAAACTGAAAAAACCCAACGTGTGGAGAGCTGAATCAACACGTTTGCGGTGGAGGATTGAAATGAATCAGTTTCTTTATCTTTCTCTTGGTCTGAGCTACTCAATACCATTCGCCCTGTGGCTACAGAAAAAAACCCTGCTGACAGTAAAAAGCAATTCAGTGAACAGAACAAGACTCTCTATAACACTGTGTGCTTTTACATTTGAATCAGTTTCTCTCCTCCAAAGCTTTATATTGGCTGTGAACGCACTGACAGGCCGGGTCGATGAGGACAAATGAAATAGTTTTGTAAGGATGGCCTGAGGAGGAGAGAGAGAAAGGAAGGGAGGGCAACAAAGGCAAAATGAGTTTTCAGGAGAAAAGGTGGTGCAGTGCGATGCTGCTGCTGCATTATTAACTAGATGGGCCCATTATCCCCTGGAAAAACACACACATGTCCAAGTCCAGGCAGTGGGATTGTGCATGTGGGCCTGTCGTGCTCAATGTGCTGATTTCAAACACAGGCTCTCAGAGGAGTGTATGCGTGAAAAGGTCGAGTCAGTGAGCAAATGAATCCATCAAACGAGTCAGAAGTGAGTCAGGAGTCAAACATCCATCCTGAGCAGTGGTCACCATGTGTCAGTCATCAGGCTGCAGGAGCTCCACTTCTAGCTTAAGTGGCTGCAGCGGCATCCATCTGATAAAGACTCTACATCCAAGAGAGAGTCATAAACACACACTCTAACAATCCATCGCATAACAAGGTCAGAGTTTTAACTGAGGAGCAACAGAACCTGAGAGGTCTATGAAATGAAAAGGAAATCTTCTTATAGCACACATGATACCACCAATTCAAACTTGGACAATGAACTCAGCAGATTTAGTGTCTATAAAGCTGATTTAACAACAATGGCTATCAAGCTGCACCAAATTTTACACACGCATAGATATCAGTTTCCTAAATATAACTGTTTTTTTTTTTTTCATTCAGATCCGTTACTTTACTCCCTGGGAAAATGTTGAGAAACACCCGATCTCTCAATTTTAACAAAAAATAAATTCCTTGATCTGCCCCCTGATTGCTAATCTGCAAATCAGATCAGCAAATGATCTCACTCCAGTGATGTCAACCTTTATCTGGCACTTGACAGGATCATATAACAAGACCAGACACACACAGTTGTATATCACCACACAGTATATCACAGTATAGTGACATTACTCTGTGGGAAACTGGATCATGCCACTTTAAAACATTCAAATTCTTACATTTGTAGATGCCATAAAAAGAGAGGCATCGAGCAGAGCCGGGACAAAAACCTGTCAGCACATCTCATCTATGAGTGAAGTGCAGGGAATTTCACAACACTGTAAGGTAACATTTGGAAAAGTATCCGTCACTGTAATGATCATTTATGATGTCTTAATTAATAGATGGTGAAATGAATCTACAAAGCACATTTAAAACAGTGTTGACCAATGTGCTGTAAAGCAAAAATACATGGAGAGAGGTGCAACAATAATAAAATATAAAATATAAAAAGGTTAAAAAAAAAAGCGAATAAAAACAAGTAAAGTTTTAAGTTTAATGAAATACTTTATTTTAGATTGGTAAACTGCATGGTAACTTTTACCCCTGAGCCTGAGAGGGGGCAGAGAAGATATGGTTAATGGTTAACAACACTAAATAGAAGATGAATCAATAATCAAGCAAAACAAACATCAACTGGTTCTAGCTTTTCTTTTTGTGCTTTTTTTATTGAATATTTTAGTTTTGAACTGTTAGAGGTCAAAACAAGTAGTTTCATGAGAATATGATAATAAAATGATATCTTTATAATATATACAGTGTATTTCAGTGAAGGTTGTGGTTTTAAACTCTTTTTTATGATCGAAAATGACTTGATTAACAATTTTATAAATCTGAGGTCAAACCATTATGTGTTAGCTCATCACTATGCATTCCAAAATATTGAAACATACACATATACGTATGTATTTTTAGCCTCTGAGATATTTTTAATGGCATTTTCACTATTTTTCAAGACTAATGGATGAATTTATTAATAGTGAAAAGAAGAAGAAAAGATTTTTTTAAATGTATGAATACAAATGAGACTGCAACTAAAATGAAACTTATAATAACGTAGATGACTTACTATTTTATTAAAGATTATTAAATTATTATAGAGGTAATAGTACTAATTATAATATTACAGTGAAATGTTTGAGTATTATTACAGCTCAACACAGCAGCACCCTGAGTGTCTTCACTGTTATTCTGGTCAATGTTCACGTGAGACCAGCGCGACTGAGGCAGCTGTTTAATGTATAAAAATCCAATTTCTCACCTGAACTGACTCCGGCAGAGACGATACGTGAGAGCACATTTCCAAATGCTACAACATGAGGCCGCTCATAGCAACAGCACTGCAGGTTTCACATTCATGAGCTAAACTGAGTGAAATCTCAATGCACCAGTCATTCCACTTGCTCCAATGGAAGAGAGAGAACATTGAAAGAATGTGAGATTTTCATCTGTTTCAACTGTGTGTAATTATATAATGGCCCATCACAGCATTGCATAAGCATCTATTTATATACTGTGCCTCACCTATGGCTGATGTGAAAGAAAGCTGCTAACAACTGTTGGCTACTGTGGGAGTGAGAGCAGCCCACTTATTTTCCCACTCATTCTCTTGCAGCACGTATGCACGTCCTTCCAACGCATGCTGGAGGCTGTCTTTCGACTCAATTATTAAAATCTGCTGTCAGCCAATTAGATGAGTCAAAAAGAGGACAACAAGGCTGCATGGGGTTCGTTTAAACTACTTGAACTGAGTAAGTGTTGAAGTGGGATATTTTCCATAACATTTCCGGAGGAGAAATTCATTTTCCACAAGTCTTCCTGCCAGCCCCTTAGAAAAATGTCAGAGTGAGCCCATGTGAGAATACAGCAGGAAAATTCACAGCTAGCAAGTGGGCGTGTTGATGATGAGATATATGCCTAACTAAAAACAAAGCAATATAATAATCTTATGATGAAAAAGTGGTTTCATACAGAAGACGCAGAGAAAGATGTCAATGTTCCAGACATTTTCCAGTTG